AAAAAAAAAAAAAAAAAAAGGGGTTGGGGGGGGGGGGGAGGGCAACGACCACAAAAAAAAACTCGCGTTTCTCGCGGCCGTGACACGAGCGGATGGATAGATATGACTCCATCTCGTGCCACGACGAAAAAACGAAAAAACTACGAGGAGCGGCAACAAAACGATCACTCCGCCAGCCGAATAACACCGCTTTTCGCCATCCACGGAGCGGCAGAGATTCCCCCAGCGCGGGTCCTGCCCAAAAGCAAACATTTGCGGGGGCGGTTTCATGGAGTACACCCTTCCCACGGAAAACAATCATCTCATGGAAAACCATGTCAACACAAAGAAGGGACGCCATCATACCAATCACTCCATTCCACGAAGGAGGGCACCCTACTACAATACCAGAAAACAACCACGGAACCGCGGGAAAGGCTTCTCGCGGTCTACTAGCAGCCATCATCCACCCGCCTTCGTTCTCCCTTTCCGGACATCGCGCCCGCCAAACAGAGGGCGTGCGTCGCGGCACGTTCGACACGTTAGGGAAAAGCGGCGCTCTTGAGACCGGCTGGGTACACACAGGGGGGGGGCACAGCACGCAAGCTCCGACGACACTCTCTCGACCAGAGATCTCACTTGTCCCATCCCACTTCCATCCCACTTCCACCCACCTGAAAGAACGCACCCACCCTTGCTCCGATTTTTCTGAACTGCTCTTCGAAGCAGGCGTTCCTTTTTTTCGCTCTCTACATTCTGTGCGGACAACATCCTTCCGTCGACGTTCCAAACGTAAAACCAACAAATAAGCATTCCCTCTCTTCCTATCCCTCCTCCGCCGGCCCGCCGGACAACAGTTTCGTGCCACTATAAACCCACCTACGACGCTAGTTCTTATGTGATGCTGAACCCAGCACAGCGCTGCCGGCAGCACCGCCACCGCTACTCCCCGCTCCTCCTTCCCTCGACTGAGACGACTGAGACGAGGAGGGAGGGACCGACATTATCGATTGAGGCGCCCACGAGCCCGACCCTCTCCCCCCGAAACAACACCGTTTATGTACGGGGAAGTCACATGTTGTTGATGTGGTGGGTAGGATGGAGGGCAGAATAGTGGCCATTTTTTGAGATCGTATTTGTCAATACA